TGTGTAGCGTAACGTACCGCACGCACACACACACACACACACATGCTGGCAAATGCCGGGGAAGTTTTACAAATATTGAAACAAATATTAAGCACAAACCCCAGGGGCCCTTCTCCCCAGGCAGTACTTCTTCTTCATGAGGGGGCTGGGTTTATTTCCCGGTGCTTTTGGCGTCCCCAAAAGGGAAGTGTCGATGGATCTCGGGCAATTTTTCCGCCGGTATTGTTGCCATTAAACCCACTCTAAACCTTGACCTTCTGTCACATTCGGTAGCGATGTGGGCACGCTGAAAATACCCCCCCACACATATATATATATATATATATATATATATATATATATATATATATATATATATATATATATACCAGGTGTAACAGCAAAATTGTCCAAATCATGTAACAGCAAAATTGTCCAATTGTTAGATTCAGCTTTGAACCGCTGTATCTTAGAAATGATTAAAGATATCTTACTGGAAATCCGAGCTTTTTATAACACTATTGGACTCTACTCTAAGCAAAAAGAATGTATAATTACTTTCCAAGCTTAACGGAAGTATCGTAATGATATCGATTATAAATGTAAATAACATGTTCATCATTTATTGATCATAGCTAAGGATCGGAAGTTGATGACTGATTGAAGTAAGTTCAAATATTTCAGGATCATTTTCCAACTTATTCATGATGATCTTCGCCCTCTCTAGCCTTCTATCTTTCTGTCCTGGAGCAACAAGCTGCCTCACGTACGATTTTCATTTTCAACTCTTTTTTCCTTTTTTGACTGTTATAGGTGAAAGTCACGTGCCAAACGTCTCGTGAATTGAGTTGGATCTTTACTAATTGATCTCTTTAGCTCTAAGTTGATCATCCCTCTTCCTGTTGTAACCTCCTGAGCCAGTTTTCCTTTCTACTGTTCCCTCTTTTCTTAAACTCATTCATCATTCTCTTGATGGTTCTTGAATGGACTTTGAAGATGGAAGCCAGAATATGAATATTGATACTATCACTGAAGGCCTGAATTATCTTTTACCTCTCTCCATTGCTCAGTTGGGAAGACAGTCGGTCTGACACAAAACGATTTCAACCTGTTCTCTTTCTAGCTGAATAACTGTTCTATCTCGTGTTTTCGAGATAAAAGAGTCAAATAAATAAGGAAGACAAACTCGTTGGTAAGTAATGCAATAGAAGGTTTTACTACATTAATGTACACTTAGCAATTGACCTAATACTAACTCGGTATTTACCCGAGCTCCAAACAGAGCGGAATTTAACACAAGGCCGGTTTAATATGCAAGAGGTTACTGTTGTATCTCGAATCGTTCGTCGCCAACTGTTGTATCTCGTGGTTTCGAGAGAACAGAGGGAAATAAATAAGGAAGACAAACTCGTTCGAAAGTAATGAAATAGAAGGTTTATTACAGCAAGGTACACTTAGCAATTGACCTAATGCTCACAGAGCGAGATGTGGCACAAGACCGGTTTTAGCTGCGTTATTCCGAGCCCGTAGGTCCGGGCAAAAATTCCCCGCAGACCCCGTAATAACGGGGTCGGGTTTGTCTACCTCCCCAGACGAGAATCTGCACTTCGGCATAGCCTCGTCTGGGCTCCTGTCTGCCCGAAGGCAGAAAGTTTGATAAGCATTAAGAGCTCAACGCGCTCCAAGAAAGAAACAATGCAGTTATTAATAAGAAGAGTTGAAATTAATTAATGTAATGTTTCACAGCTCTAGCATCACTCCTTTGTAGTCAGCTTATGAACTTTTCTGCCCACCGTCCTACTCGGAAAGAAACAATGCAGTTATTAATAAGAAGAGATGAAATTAATGCATGCAAAAATTCACAGCTCTAGTATTTCTCCTTTATAGTCAAACTATGGCGTTTTCAACCAACTCTCATATCTCCACTTGTTGAAGTTTGTTCTTGAAAATGTCCTCTGTTGGTTCTCAAATACACCCTTGTTCTATCACAAACCGGTCGGCCCGCAAATCATCTACAAATGGTTTCTCTACAAGAGGAAATCATGGGAATCTTCGTCGGCAAGTAGTACATGTTCTAGAATGTGCTCAAATCAATCTAGATGCATTAGAATTGAGAATTACACCATCAATGAGTGACTTCCCTTACCGGAAGTCATACTACTGAAGACTTGATTATTGTTTGAATAACTCTATTATTTAAAGAGTTGCGTTAAATTTAAATCCTTGATGGAGAAGGTAATTCCTACGCAGTTAGTTTAATGGTTACCGACGGGGAAAGTCAATGCCGAGTTCAATCGCCGCTTGATTCTACTTCGCGCTAAGGTCTTTGTAAAACGGCATGAATCGATCTGTCCCCAGCTTTAAGTTAAATAGCAGCGCAGACTTGGCTGTCTTACCTTGAGGTGGTAACCAGTCCAGGAGAAGAAAAAGCTCAATTCAGAAATTATGCTCCATCAGGTTATCTCACCATAGACACACCGCTCACACGGCTGCGATACATCTGGTACCTCTACGACCCCCAGAGGTTACGGGGCAAACGCACACTGTAAGGTTTATTTGGGGATACTTCACCAACATGGAAGACATGAACAGCGAATATTCTTTGGAAAATATTACCACGCCTAGAGTTCTTGAATATAAATGATATTTTATTAGATTACATTATAAAGACGTTTGTTGTAAAAGTCGAGAGATTCATAGAACGTATAGGAGGAGGCTCGGATTGAGGAATCAGAGAGCCGAGTTCGAATTTCTGTCGAATTCATTACATTCGCTTACGTTCTAATACCCTTGGTAAAGGTATGAATCCTCCTCTTCTCCCCACAGCTATGGGTAAATTGCAGTACAGACCGGGTTTTATAGCCTCGGATGGCAACTGGTCTATCGCAGAAAGAAATGG